CTATAACAATATAGTAGAACATAAATATGTGACACCAATAATGCTGTCGCTAATTCTCTTTAGCAACAAAAGATAGAGACAGTTATGTATTTTCCTCTAATTATGCATTTGGAGGCTTATACGTTAGACTCTGATGTTTAAAATAAAAGGCATAATATGTTTTTGCTATGACCTCTTTTAAGGCAAATATAATCGATTCATCGTATTGTTGAAAAAAAAGAGGTGATCTATCCTCTCTCCTCCTTTTTTGTTCATTGCTCGGACGATGGTTAACGCGGACTGTTGTCGCCATATTCGCTGCCAGCTTGAGGAACCAAGAACACTAGTATCGATTGTATCGCCCCTCGGAACGTGATCCTCTTCCTACATTGGAAATGAAAGTGATCACAATCAATAGCAAGAAGGATGGCAATCTCCTAGCAGCCGCGAATCCCAAACCGAAAATGGCTCTTCGTGAGATTGTCCGGCGTAGATCACGGTGGCTCCGCCTGAAAAAATGATCGCATCAGAATGCTTTTGCAGAGCTTGAGCTCACAGAAGAGCATCCATCAAAGAGATGTAGGCATGAGCCAATGAAACAATGGAGGTTCCAGCTCCCTCACTCGTCAGAGCTAGACTGTGATGAATCTGATCTAGCCACGTTCGCGGGGAGCGAGAATTAGAACACACGAATCAAAATTGAGCAAAATGAACAATGTGATTGTTTAACTCAAACTATACCCTTAGGGGATGGGATTATTCCCGTGCCGCCAGACTGAGACTGGGAGTTGATTTCCCGATTAGCGGTTTAATCGATAACCGTACCAGTAACCGCAGTTATCGGTTAAACCGTTAATCGAGCGGTAACGGTTGTCGGATGTGAAGAATGGGATGACGGCAATACAGAAACCCGGGTGCATAGTAACCATCGGAAAACCAGTTGTCCGATACCGGAATTGCAGGGACGACTGACGTTAGTAATTCACTAATTATCATAATATAATAGAACTTCTCCTTCCCTGTACTATCAGGTAAAGGAATTATAGATTAATTAATTAAATTACTAAATTAATCTCGTCCAGATTCCATTACTTCTCTTCCTCTACTATTAGGCTAAGCTAATGATAGAAACCGCCGCCGAGTGGGATGAGCGGGTAGGGTTGGGTCGGCCGTATGGGCTAGGTTTGAGTGGCTATTTTGTTATTTTCTGTTAGTTCTCTGAAACTCATAAAAAGGGTTTCAGTACGTTCATTTTGGAATTAAGCAATAAGAATATCAAAATTCCTAAACCTATCTTTCTCCTGTTATTCACCAATTCTCTCAATCCCTAATACCAATTCTCTCAATCCCTAATTCTCATTCTCAATTCCCTTCTTCCCTTCAAAGGTCTATCATTTGGTATCAGAGCCAACATGAGCTCATCAAGGCTCTCCGATCTGGAATGGGCTCGCGTATGGCAGCAGATTGAGTACACGCTCGCTGAGCTCAAACGGGAGGCATGTGACCATGGGTGGGCTGTGACGGCGCGGTGGAGGAAACCCCAGCCGCGGGGTCGGGCGCGACGCCAGCCATGACGTGGCAGAAAGGCGCGGTGGCGCTGTCAACGTCGGAGGGCGTTGCCCCTCGGTGCGCTCGGGGGAGCTTCGGAGGCCGGCGACGAGACTTCTTGCGAAGCGGCGGTCGGCGACGGGTAGGGCAGGGGGTTCGGAGATACTCCGTCGCTATCCCTCAACTCGATGACCGGGCTGCGTACTCCGGGCACGCTTCATTTCTGAGCCTAGGTGGGCGGGCAAACCGCGTTGACTTTGGTGGATAGCGGCGCCTCGCTCAATTTCATCCGCGAAGAGTTTGCTAAGTCCCTACCATTGGCGGTGAGTGAGGTGGAGAAGGTGGTGGTCCAGGTCGCGAATGGTGCCCCTATGCAGTGTACCACAGCCTACCGCGGGCTCTCCCTCGAAATTCAAGGGTTGCCCGTGACCGCCGACTTATTTGTGCTACCCATCATGGGGTTCGATGTTATTTTGGGCATTCCATGGCTGCAGAGTTTGGGTCCGACTACCACCAATTGGAAGATCCTGACCATGAGATTTAAGTGGCGGGACAAGAAGTGGAGCCTGCAAGGACTCACCACCGCCATGGGCCCTATTTCCATCCATGATTGTACCGAAATGGGCGAGGCTGACTTCGCCGTGCTGTGTTGGCCCGTGGAGGCTTCCGAGGCACATGAGGTGGCTCCAGACCTCCAACGGATACTTGACAGGTTTTCAAGATATCTTCTAGGCGCCTATCACCCTTCTGCCGCATCGACAAGTTGATCACCGCATCCAGTTGAAGGATGGGGTGAAAGCTGTTAATGTCCGTCCCTACCGATATGGTCATTCATAGAAGGAGGAGATTGAGCGGCAGGTGGCAGAGATGCTCACCACAGGGCTGATTCGGCCTAACACTAGTCATTTCTCTTCACCGGTACTTCTGGTTAAGAAGAAGGATGGGACCTGGCGTTTCTGCACTGACTACCAGGCTTTCAATGTCGCGACAGTGAAGGATAGGTTCCCGATTCCGACGGTGGATGACATGCTCGACAAGATACATGGATCGACCTACTTCACTAAGCTCGATTTGTGGGCTGGCTATCACCAGATCCGGATGCAGGAGGGGGATGCGCACAAGACAGCTTTTCGGACTCACAACTGCCATTATGAGTACCTGGTAATGCCGTTTGGGTTGTGCAACGCTCCTTCGACCTTCCAGGCGGCTATGAACGACATCTTCCGCCCCTTACTCCGTCGGTACGTACTGTATTATTCGATGACATTCTTATTTACAGTCCATCGTGGGAGGCCCATTTGCAGCACTTGCAGTCTGTGTTCGAGATTTTGTAGCACCATCAGTACTACCTCAAGGCTTCGAAGTGCACATTTGGGGTTCAGAAGGTGGAGTATCTGGGTCACATTGTCACGCCCCAAGGGGTGCAAGTGGACCAGTCGAAGATTCAGCCTATAGTGGAGTGGCCGGCCCCAACCACCGTCACAGAACTGCGAGGGTTCCTGGGTCTGACGGGTTACTACCGGAAGTTCATATGAGGGTAAAGTATGATTGCCCGGCCCTTGACTATTTTGTTGAAGAAGGGCAGGTTTGTATGGACACCAGAGGCAGACACAGCGTTCCAGCAGCTGAAGCAGGCATGACCACCACCCCGACCCTTGCTATGCCAGATTTCTCCCGGACCTTTGTGTTTGAGGCAAACGCCTCAGGCTGGGGCATTGCGGCGGTGTTATCACAGGATATGAACCCGGTGGCCTTTATGAGTAAGACCTTGGCTCCATCCAAGGAAGCTTGGTCTACTTACCAGAAGGAGATGCAGGCTATCATCACGGCGGTACAGATGTGGCGACCATACCTGCTGGGACAGAAATTCCACATTTACACTAACCATCAGAGTTTGAGGAACCTCTTGGAGCAGCGAGTTTCCACTCCCGATTAGTACAAGTGGGTCTCAAAGCTCCTGGGTTATGATTATGAGATCCACTGCCGACCAGGACCATCCAACGTCGTGGCAGATGAGCTTTTGAGGCGCCCTGGGGGTTAAATACTGGCGGCGGTGACGGGGCCGGTGCCCCAATTTTGGGACGCCCTGCGAGATCTTACTGAGACTGATGTGTATCTGCAGGGATGCCGGGATATAGCGGTCAGCGAAGCTCAGGGTCATTATTCCTTTCGGCAGGGGCTGGTGTTTTTTCGAGGGCGTCTTGTGCTTCCCCGGAGGTCTTCCCTAGTGACTACCGTGTTGCAGGAGTTCCATGACTCTCCGCTTGGAGGGCATTCTAGGGTCGAGCGGACATTGCGGCGGATTCGAGCACATTTTTACTAGCCATAGATGGGTCAGGACGTGAAGGACTATGTAGCTTCGTGTGACACCTATCAGCGGGTCAAGGCGTCTCATCTGCGACCGGCGGGTCTTCTGCAGCCGTTACGTTTTAAAAAAAAATTCTCAAAATACACAGATTATAAAAAAAATCTCAATCTACACATGTTTGGGCATCACCGCGGCCGTCTACCGTGGTGAACATGTTTATCACGGTTGACGGCCACGGTGAACAGGTCGGCCACGGTGAATGCATCACCGCGGTCGTCAACCGCGGTGAAGGCATCACCGCGACCGTCAACCGTGGTGAAGGCCTGATTTAAGACTGAATTTTCAAACGAACGTAACTTTGCATTCTTTTATCCGATCGTAGAAAAAAAAATTGATTCCGCATAATTTTTTGAGATCTTGAAAGCCATAGGCAGTTTGGTCCCGCTTTCATCCCGAAAAACGTCTTCGCTACCCCGAACAAGCAATTGTTCGATTCTGCCTAACTTTGGAAGGGCCATAAATTTATGCTCCGCAATCCGAATGTTACGATTTTTTTTATTTTGTATAAATTTTTAAGGACTACAACTTTTATCATAGCCATAATTTCAGAATGTATGTGGATTTGTGAAAAGTAAAGACAAATTTATTCCCAAAACCGCGTATATCCAAAAATATTTCTTGTTTTGAAAATTCCTTCCTCGTAAAAGTTGTATTTCTTAAAAATTTATGCATAATAAAAAACAATTCATGACGTTTGGATTGCGGAGCACAAAGATATGGCCTTCCAAAGTTTGACGAAATCAAAAAATTGCTCGTTCGGGATAGCAAACGACGTTTTTACGAGTTGAAGACGTGACTAAACCACCTGTAGCTCGCAAGATATCGAAAAATTATATGGAATCAATTAAAATTTCGCTACAATCGGATAACTGAACGCAAAGTTACATTCGTTTGAAGTTTCAACCTTATATCAGGCCTCATCCACGGTGAACATGTTCACCACGGTCCACGGCAGCAATGATGTCAACACATGTGTAAATTAAAAAAAAATTGTAACGTTTGTAATTTTTTTTTTAAATTTATATTTTGGAATTTTTTCATGCTTTTATCAGCCCTGCCAAAAACAAATGTGGCAGTCTCCCTCTCTATCAAAGCAAAGAAAAACCTGTGCACAGAAAACCTTTTATCAGCTGCCCCGTGAGTTTTTGTCCAGAAGGGGAGCGCTCTCCCTCTATTCACAACTCCAGCAAAGAGCAAAAACAGAAGGAAAAAAAAAAAAGGTAACCCGAAAGTGGGCAAATGTTCTCCCACCGACGAATCATTATTACTTCTTTTCTCAGCCGCCATTTCTTCTTCGCCTGAGAATCTGAGCATTTTGTGCAAAAGGATCGCTGATTCGCTGCAGAAGGAGTGAATATTGAGAGGTTCAGATTCGCAGAGAAACTCAACTTGGGTTTTTCCTTTTTACCATTTCTGGGTGTAGAATAATGAATGGTGCTACGGATTGCTTTGACTCTGAGTTCGTCGAAGTTGATCCCACTGGAAGATACGGCAGAGTCAGTCAAAACTCTCTCTTCCCTCTCTCTGTCTTCATTCTCCTTTCTCTTACCCGATTTCTGGGTTTCTGATGCCGCTTCTCTTATTTCCTGTTTGGGTTTCCTCAGTATAATGAAATTCTGGGCAAGGGAGCTTCAAAGACAGTGTACGATTCCTTCTTCCTCTGTTTTCTGCTTCTGCGAAAATCTCCATTTTTTCTAGTGATGCCCATTTGGTGTTTCCGAGGAATCTGGTCTTATAGGTGTCTATGATAGGTTTCTGGAACTGGGTGTCTGTCAGATTTACATTTCTTCGTGAGTTGGAACTTCGAAGTTCATTTTGGGTCTTGTTTTCTTCAGTTACAGAGCGTTTGATGAATATGAAGGGATTGAAGTGGCATGGAACCAAGTAAAGCTCTACGATTTCCTCCAAAGTCCTGAAGATCTCGAGAGGCTCTACTGCGAGATTCATCTACTAAAGACGTTGAAGCACAAGAACATAATGAAGTTCTGTACTTCCTGGGTGGACATTGCAAATAGAAACATCAATTTCGTGACTGAAATGTTCACTTCTGGGACTTTGAGGCAGTAAGGGGTTCTTCTCCTTCGCGAAAGTCAATATTTTGCCTTAATGGTTTCCATATTGGTGAGTTCCCTTTTGAACACCCTCTTTTGGTGTGCTTTTTTGGTATAGATATCGGCAGAAGCACAAAAGAGTCAATATTAGAGCAGTGAAGCATTGGTGTAGGCAGATCTTGAAAGGGCTCCTATATCTCCATAGCCATGACCCACCTGTGATTCATAGAGATCTCAAGTGTGACAACATCTTCATCAATGGAAACCAGGGTGAAGTGAAGATTGGAGATCTTGGACTTGCTGCTATCCTAAGGAAATCTCATGCTGACCATTGTGTTGGTATACTAAAAACTGCCTCAAACTCCATCTGCAATCTTCTCTTTCATTAGCTCGACTTCAGTAGCATGAATCTTTTGTTGTGGCTTATCAGGAACACCAGAGTTTATGGCGCCTGAAGTTTATGAGGAGGCATATAACGAATTGGTTGATATATATTCCTTTGGAATGTGCATATTGGAGATGGTCAATTTCGAATATCCCTATAGTGAATGCACTAACCCTGCTCAGATATACAAGAAAGTCATCTCTGTAAGCACATTTGGTTAACTTTTTTTTCTCCACTAAGGGAGAAAAACGGGTTTCTTGAAGTTTAAAGTGACCTGTATTTTTGTTTCCTTACAGGGTAAAAAGCCTGAATCTTTATACAAAGTGAAGGATCCAGAAGTGAGGGAATTTGTGGAGAAATGCTTGGCCATCGTTTCCCTCAGGCTTTCTGCTAGGGAGTTGCTGAACGATCCTTTCTTACAAATCAACGAGTATAACCCCGATCTCCAGTTATTAGATTATGGAAAGGATGTTGAGGAGATTAGTCCCTATATGAGGCAGCCCTACCTTGATCTTCATGACGGCATGTATTCTTCCTACAATAACAGATATAGTTATGATGCTCATAATGAAGTGGAGTACAATCATCCTGCTGAAATGGAGCATGCAGGGATTGAACTCTTTGAGTACCACGATGATGAAGACGACGATGATGATCATCCTCCCAACGTTGATATCCGTATTAAGGGCAAGAGGAGAGACGATGGTGGCATCTTCTTGAGACTTCGTATTGCGGACAAAGAAGGTTAGGGACCTTACAACATGAAAGTATCAACATTTTTCATGTTTCTGTTGCCAACTTCTGAAAATGAAACAAAAATCAGAGAACCAAACGGAAAGTAAATATGCCCTTAGCTTCCCATTTGCTTTTGCAATTCGACTCCTCGTCTTTAAATTTGGTTTCTATTTATGCAGGCCGTATTAGGAATATCTATTTCCCATTCGACATTGAAACGGATACAGCAATGAGTGTAGCGACTGAAATGGTTGCAGAACTCGATATAACCGATCAAGATGTGACTAAAATAGCAGACATGATAGACGGTGAGATTGCTTCCTTTGTACCAGGCTGGGGGCCAGGGCCTGAAGGTCTCAACGAGATGCCTCGGTTTGCGAATCAAACTATCTGCCAGAACTGTGCCTCAACTCGAACCTCGACCGGATCGCTCATTGATTTTATGTCCAGCAACCTATGTTGTAGAAATGGCTGTGCTTCAATGCATGGCAGGTTTGAAGAGGTGACTTTCCAACCCGAGGATACAGATCATCATCAATGTGCTTCAAATGCTAGAGCTCGCTCGCACACATGGGACCAGCACGAGAGCCGTGACATAACTCCAGCAGGGTCCGGGACCAGCCATTCGGATGAAGAGTATGAGAAGCTTGTTCTTAAGCATGTCATGGAGAATAGTGAGATTGCTTCTCCTCCAAAGAAGTCTGCTCAACATGCTAGGGGTTCAGGGTCTTTCCGTGAGCTGGCTTCATTGTACAGAGACCTTGCAGAAGATGGTGACGAGAACGATATACAGCATGAACTACGATGGCTCAAAGCAAAGTACCAGATTGAGATGAGGGAAGTCAAAGATCATCAGTTGGGAATTCTGACCACGCCCGTTACGAATTCAAGCTCCAGGGAAGATGGAACATTGAATGGTGGCAAGGGTTTGTCTTGTTCGGTATTGCAGTCGGCATTGAATTCATTACAACAGCAAGACCAGTGTTGTAACGATATCAGCAAGAGGAGCTCCACCATTTGTCAAGCTCACCGAGCTTCGACAAGGGATTTCCCAGCAGATGATGAACCTATCTTCACTGCCAAGAGCTTCTATACTGGTTCATTTCTTCCACACTCTCTTCACAGGACTACTTCCCTGCCAGTCGATGCTGTTGATGTATAGTGTACATCTTTGTTAAGTAAGTTCCACTGATTTTTAGATTAGTATCTTTTCTTGTTGCCCCCACATATACTCAAAATTATAGAGGCTCTTTTCCCCCCTCCACAATTGGAGTTCCCTCACAGACTGTCACAGTGACTTTGTATTTTTTTTTTTTGGCTGATACTGATTCTGCCAGCCTGTGTTTGAGATATACATAGCAGGAAAAAGGGAAGAGTGAGTAACAATAAGGCAAAATACACTTTTATAGCCAAATTTATTCGCGTTGTGATAAATATAGCCAGTTTTTGAAAAATACACTCGTATAGCCACTTTTGAAAACTTGACTGGCAAATTTAGCCATTTCCGTTACAAACATAAACGGAAAGACAGACGCCGTCAGTAAGCCCTCCGTGGCTCTGAGGTGGATGTCACGTGGTTGCCACATCATCGCCAACTCGACAACATTTTGCCACGTCATTTTTACCTTTTATTTTTACCTTCTTTATTTTTACCTATTTTCAATCCCACTCCTCCATTGTCGACCATTATCAATCCACCTTCCATTCTAGGTTTTGCGGAGGAAAACCCCATCCCCGCCGCCGCTCTCTCTCGATCTCGATCTCTTACCCATCGCCGTCGCCTTCTCCCTCTATATTCCCCATCGCCTTCTCCTTCTCTCCTTCCCATCGCCCTCACTTCTCCCTCTGGTTCCAATCGCCGATTTATCCAGTCGCCGATTTATCCATGTCGCGCAGGGTTGGGCGGAGAAACGTTGGCAGGGATTTGGTCGATTCTGGGTCAACGAACATCAAAAGTGAAGGTGTTGGTGTTGTCATTTGCAAGTGCAAACTCCCTGCTTTGGTACAAACTTCTGGGACTGAGTTGAACCCAGGCAGACAGTTTTATGGTTGCCCTAATTGGATGGTAAGCAAATCGTAGTTTCTATGAACTATTTTATGACCTATTGTGCCTTAGGAACGTCAATGTTGCAGGATCCGAAAGGTGGGTGCAATTTTTTTCGTTGGGTGGAGTCAAGTTCTGATATATCAGAGGCATGAAACAATGATGTTGACGGTATGATGATGAAGTTGGAAGAAAGCTTAAGGCTGGCCGAATCAAAGGCAGTGAGAATGAAGAAGGATAAGCTACTGTTGGAGGAGGAGTTATGCAATTGGATGAAAATTGAGAGAGATCGAACAACTGAATCTCAGAATTTGTATCATGAATTGCGAGTGATTCGATATATGCTTAGTTTCTTCTTGGTTCTGAATGTCTTACTGATTATATTTCTGTGGAAGCAGTAAGCTTGTATCGATCGTATGTAATGTGCAAGTTGAAATTTAAAGTTGGTATGAAATGGGGTAAACAACCTATTTTCTTTGCAAAAGATAGCATGGAACGATTGAACCTAACATAATCCTTGCAAAATCATCCGGTTTCTACAATAGTCTGGAGCACACGTTAACGAGCATCTTAGTTAGTGCCTGATTACATTCTGACATTAGTCTTGAACATCAACCTAAGATAGAGAGTTTCCTTCAGCTACACCTAGCAAACAAACCTAAAACTTAACATAAATTGTCTTAGCCGAATTACATGAGTCGACAAAGCTGCTTCTAAGCAAGGGTTGGATGCCCTGTACAAAATTTAGACTTATGAGAAGTTAACTAAACTTCTAAGGTTGGGTTGGTGGCGGCTGGCTCCCTGGCAGATCCATCTAAGTAGGTTGGGTTGGGGGTGGATTCCCAACAAATCTCCCATTTGCCCCATTCAGCTGCATTCAACAGATTTGTTAAATGTCATATTGGTGATGACACAAGAAAAAATGGTGTAACTAAGAAAGAAAGAAACCAATTACTCACCCTAAGAAAGAAAGAAAAAACCAGTGGTCTCATCAACATAAACACCATTTCCTCTTGTTGCTTGACGAAGCTCCCTTTCAATCGTAAAACGATCGCCAACATTCAACCTCACATCCTATATTACAAACAAAACAGTTAACCTAAGGTTGTTCTACACTAGTTAACCTAACATTCATCTACAACTTACACTAATCACTTACTTGTATTCCCACTCCCCTGTTCAACGGACATGTTCTGGCATTGTGTGTGGCAGAGCCACACTTGGAGCAGTGGTTGCCTCTCCTCTGCCTTGGTTGACTCTCATTAGGTGGAGCAGCAGCAGCTCCATTCTTTGTGGCAACAACTTGGTTCCTTGTGGCATGTGTAGTCATTCCCTTCAAGCATACAACCATCGATTAAGTGACAATGTAATATAAAGGGACAACGTGATACTATAAATAAGGGAGTTTACCACCGTTCGAGTAGCAACGGCAGCAATAGGTGTTGGGCATGCCCTTGCATTGTGCCCTTCAGCTCCACATTTGGAGCAATGAATCAGGCTACCCCTCTGAGTTACTTCTTCACCAACCCTTTTTTTTGTGGTCTTGTTTCCCTCTCCCCGGCTGTCTTTCTTCTGTTCTTTTTGGGGCGGCCTGGCATTAGTCTGTCTTTAGGAGGGTATACTTCGTACCCACTGGCTTCAGGCCATGCTTGTCTACCATCAAGACAAGGCAGCCCCACCTTGTAGAACTCCTCCACATTCGGAACAAGGTAAGAAGGATGAACATAATCATCCGGATTCTTCCTCAAGTGGCTGATAGCAGAAACTGCATGACAGCATGGCAACCCACTCAACTGCCAATAACCACAGCTGCACTCCTTCAAAGTCAGGTCTACATTGTACCCTTCAGCCCCCATTTTAACTTCACATCTCATATTGTGAGATTGCCTAGATACACACAGCCTAGCAAACTCCTTCTCCTTCTCTAAACGTTTCCTAATTCTCGGACACAACTCATCAGTACTCCCATGCAGCATATTATACTTGATCACCACTCTTTCCATCATATACCCCCTAATCCCTTCAAGCATCTCTATAATACGAAATCCTCTATACTTCACAATGCTGCCATTCCATGTCTCACATATATTACTCTCGACACTATCACATTTAGCAATTGTAGACAAGAAAGCACGACAAAATTTGATTGGATCGGCAGCCATAAAGTCAGTAAATGGCGTTGGTCCATCACCATTACCTTGTATACTCTCCATCTCTTGCGTAGCCTTCTTCCAATCAGATTCGTTGCATGCATACACTGCCTTCCAGAACAATTTCAGAATCATGTCGGTCTTGTTCTTGGCTTTCCAGTTGGCATACACATGCCTAGCACATTTTCGATGCTCCGCTTCAGGTAGTATTGAGTGGAGCGTTTCAACCAGACCCTAGTGGAGAGAAATTGGATTAGTATAAAAACCATGAGAAATATTCAAAGTAAAATCACATGAAAGATTACTATACCTTCTGCTGGTCCGATATAACAGTCCATCCTCTACCATCAATTAAACCAAGTTCTTCAGTTAGAATATCCACGAACCATGTCCAAGAGTTGGTATTTTCTCCTTCCACAACCGCCCAGGAAATTGGGAACATCTGGTTGTTTCCATCTTTACCCACTGTTGTGAGCAGCATACCTTTTACCTCCCCTTTAAGAAAATAGCCATCCAGACCAAACATCGGACGACAGCCCAAAAGGAATCCATCCTTCAAACAGGAAAAACCAACATATAAGCGCTTGAATAAGCACTTATCCTCATCTGGGTGCGGGTCAACTTCCAGCTGGAAACGACCATCCCTATCCCTCTTCTTCAGCTCAGCTACATATCTCCTAATCAAGTTATACTCATCACTCAATGACCCACTTAACATCTTGATAGCCTCTAATTTAGCTCTGTAGCAAGTTCTCTTCTTCACCTTCATGTTGTGTTTTAACTTAACCTCAGCCATAATCTGTTCCGGAGCCCACTCTGGGTTAATTCTGAATCTCTCTAACATATCTGAGGTATCCACTTAGTTGTGACTTGGTTAACTGAGAGACGCCTTGCACATGAGTGTGGCAGCCCCACTTTCCTTATCATGAAGCACTTATCCTTCCTGAACCAGCTTGCATACAACCTCCATGGACAGTCCCATCTTTACACTTAACCTCTCTCCTCGTAGGGTTGCTCCGAGTCCATCTCAGACATGCACCATGTGCTACAGAATGTCTTACAACGCCATCTTTGAACTGCTCTACCCCATCGAATTTCATTCTACATACAAACTCAAGTTTCTTATGGTCACAGAGTGGATCATACCGTGGTGCATCATCATACAAATCACCATCCTCCTCATTTGACAAGTTGCCCCTTACATGATCTGAGTCTTCTGACAATCTGTAGTTTGAATGCTGAAAGCCCTCCCCATTAACATCAAATCGAGGTGGCTGAGGTTCTTCAGGTGGCTGAGGTTCTTCAGGTCTGAAGGGGAATGAAGTGGTGTGAATTCTCACCATCATCTTGGCCTTCCTCCTCCCCATTTTCAGAGTCAGATTCTTCAAATTCCTCAAGCTGGTCTACCTCTTCTCCACCAGCAGCAACTCTTGCAATCACTTTCCTTTTCCTCCCTTCACCATATGCACGTAGGTTAGCTCTAGCCTCGTGATATTCATCATCTGATGTCATTGCGTCATCGGAGTCATAAACATGATAGATATCAGGAGCAACAGAAGCATCTCCAACATTGTGGCTGCCTAGCGAAGCCTCATCATGCCCAATCTGATTTGGGTCATTTTCGCCCACCAATTCATCCCATAACAACCTTATTGTCATTATATACTATATAATTACATAATTAATAGTTAATTAGCCTTAAGTGGAACCAACTTTCTGCTTTACAATAAACAAATCGCATACAACAGGCTATCCACTAAAGAATTGCGAATCAAATAACCAGTTTCAAAGCACATTTGTCGTCACTACAAATTGACTTTTGTATCCAATGTGATGAGCTTCTTACCGTTTGATTCAGGGGCAATCTCGCCATAAAGAGAAGTTCTGTGGTCCCTTCACAAACTTGTTGTGTCGCTCTCCAAGCTTTACAGATTGCCAACACCTATAAATAGATACCAAAAACTGCAC